TTTATTTAAACACACGTATATAATAACAATATTGACGACACATTTACTCTACATTGATTGAGCCGTAAATACTATTGAGACAAAACAAAGTGAAAATCAAATGAATAAAAATACATCAAATAAAATATTAATAATACACATATTGAAAATATCAATACAAGAGCTTATTGTTTGGCCACCGCTGTTGTCGTGTCTCGGATCCGGTCTCGGGTTCGGGTCCTGACATCAGTATCCGTTGCCTCTTATACCGAAAGCCGTCGTCATTCATGAAACAGTCTCTCAATAAGTTATAGATCTTATCGGTGGACACACTCTTCATGGAGGCGTAATTCTTCACACCTGACCATCGAAAGCATACCATCAATTAGGATAATGATAATCATGTTTTACATTTACTATTAAAACATGTATTATTTAGCATACATTAATTACACGTTAGTTACACGCATGAGATATTAATAATTACACAACTAATTTTTTGATGGCTCTTTACATTAGTAGATTAGTTGCTTAAATACAACGGGGATTAAAATTGTTAATTTTTGATTAGGCGTGTTTCAGCATATTTATTAGAGATACGACTCTAAAGTTTAGAGTCCAAACGTTATTAATAAACATGTTAAAACAGCATAAAACATGGTAAATTATGTATATCATTTGTTGAGTGGTAGTTTAACAAATTACTAACAAACACAATGAATTCATTATTAATATAATATAAACTTGATATTTATATTTTTAAAAACAATTAGATAAATTCAAAATTAAATAATAGATTATAACCTTTAAATCACTTTTATAGATACATATAATTTATGATGTATGTAATAATGATAATATAATAACATAATTACCTCCAACAGCCTTTACTTCGCGACTCAACGCCAGACAATCGGCTTTAATCACATCCGACATAACGATGGGTACAATGAATGCCAATAAAGTCATACACAGAATCATGTTTGTCGAAGACATCCAACGGATTAAATAAAGTAATACTTAATAAACAACACAATATATATAAAGTATATATGTATGTGAAGTGAGATTTTTTTGATGAGATGTAGAAATATATGTAAATTATGAGCAAAAAAGCTAAAGAAGAAAAAGACTGTGAGTGAGAGGCGATACCACCGGAGCTAATGATATGCGCGCAATGTTTTTAAAATAGCCCTAAAAAGCTTTATGGGTAATTTTTGTTATTTTTTCTACCAAGTATGAATAGAAAACTACAGTAATTTATAGTGAATAATTAATTTTTTTTATCGTACTTCTATCCAAATTGTAGTAATGATATTACAGATAAAAGTTTTGGATATAAATTTTATTGGGCGAATAAATTATACCAAGAGTTTTATATACATATATAAACTTTATATATTTAAAATTATGCAAAAATTTATTAAAGACAGATCAATTCACTCGCTTTCTCTCTCACTATTTCATTTGTCTATACACTGGAGTATATGTTTAATATATAGACATATACCTACAGAATATTCTGTTTATATACCACCCATATATATATATCTCTCTTTATATGCACTGTATGTACACAATATTTTCGCCATCAAAACGCATATATAATTAAATATTTACATCATATTTAATTCTGATGCAAAGTTTTCAATTAGTTTTATTGCTTTCCAATGGCTTTTATTACAGTACAGCGCGAATGTGTGCGAAAATAAACGTTTGAATCAATGGTATACCGTATACGCGAGTGCACTGCATGTATGTAAAACAGCCCATTAAATTACATAGCCAATGGTATGATACTATCATAATGATAGTGGTCGTTTTGATGGTTGTTGTTGTTGCTAAATTACATAGTTAAATGCTTCACGAGTACAATTTGATGTGTACTTACTGTACATAGTGTTGGTAGTAATAATCATATGTACATTGTACTTACATTGAATTTATCTGTATGGTTTGGTAAAAGAGCATTAGGTTAATATTGTTGTGAGACATATTTAAATAAACATGATCGATACGTACAAAATAAGTACCGTAAAATCATGCCTATTGACCGCAGGTTAAAAAAGTCATATTTTTGGGAAAGTAGTCAGCAACTTCAATTCATTATCAACATAAACAGGGTTAAACTATTAAATTTTGGCGAGTTATAAGTGAGGTGGTGGTAATCTCTGAATTGCTTTTTATTTGCAAATATTTACACTTTTTGTTGATACGGGTAGTACGCGACAGCGGGTAATAGGCAGGATTTTACGGTATTTATTGTTTTTTATAGATAAACACTTTAAGTTACTTTAAATATAGACACGATTGGTATTATTCTGGTATTCAATCATTAATTTATTTATCATATAATTATAATTTAGAGGTTTTCATAGCAAAAATAAATTACAAATAATACTAACAGCAAAACAATTATATAAATAATAAAAATTATTTAAAAAATTTCTGTCAACAATTCTTGACAGCAAATGATTAATAAATTATATTTTTTTACAATAAAAATGAATAACATTTAAATGATGGTAAATCTAGCGATAAATAGAATATCATAAGAGGGCTGTGGAGGGGCAGAGAGTCAGTGGCCATGGGGTTAAGCGGACACAGGTATGAAATGGTGGTTTTGGTGGCAAAACTAGTTTAATATCCCTCTAAGAGAAATCGTCGAAACAGTTTGCCCCGGGAGTCGGGTTTGGTTGCGGTGCTGTACCGACCCTTCTTGAACCGAAAGCCCTCTTCGTTTATGAAACAGTTTTTGTAGATCTCGTAAACCATATCAAACTGGAGCTGATTTTCTTCCACAAATTGTTTGATACCTTGTTTTTGGTATAAACACAATATATGACACAATAGAAAACAATACAATATAGTTTTTACCCAAAATTATGGTAATTATTGGGTTGGGATAAAGATGGGAATGGGTTGGTTGGGTGGTTGTACTTTGAATGCAAGCATCCAACTTCTTCAATATAAGCACCAAAAATGTTTACAATATATGATGGTTAAAAATTATAATTATGATACTTTTAGGGTTTGGGAGCGGGGATGGGATGGTTAAGTGGATGTGTTTGTGGTGACATACCTCCAGCATCTTCAATCTTTTTGCCAAACTCTATGCACTCGGCTTTCGTGGTCTGAGTGAGAATGAAGGGCAAGAATCCAAACATTAATGTTAAGTAAATCACAGCTGAATACATATTAATCAAGTATTTTCAAGAATATTCTTGACGTTATGATCGCTGCTATAGTTTGTTGCCGTTATTCAAGCAGATGGAGATTGGCTCTGGAAAAATGAACTTGATCACAGGCAAGTTTTTATTAGAGGTATTTGCAAACCAAACACTGATTTATATACCCTTTCAAAGAAATGCGATGAATAATACAACATGTGTTTGAAATCTCATGTGAGAGTTGACCAAATAGTTTAAGTGTGTATTTGATTTGATTTTCAAAAAACCTGTCGCTTGTTTTTGATATTCCTCGTGTCCATTAATTATTCACATAATGTGTTTAAATGTTAATTTATCATGTATTTCATTTCTCTCTCTCTCTCTCTCTCTCTCTCTCTCTCTCTCTCCCTGCTGTATGTGTTTGTATTCTCCAAGCATTATATTTTGAGAATATATTTATGTAAAATAATGTGATATTTAAACAAATTTGTCCTCAAATTCATGAATTTTTAATACATTTTACATTTTCTTCGGAACAGTTCTCTGATGTCCGATAATTTAATGCTAATTTCAAATACATATTATCATAAATTTATTGCTAAATTCATTAAAATGCTATTTTGATGTTTAAAATGGCAAATAAATATTTGTTAAACTCTTAAATTTTAATATTTACGTCACATGTAATGAACGGCCACCTCTTCGTCCATGTTTTAGACCATTTATTATTAATTATGTAAAATTAATATTACTTTTTATTATTTGTATAAATTATATAAATTACATATACTGTAACTCTACATACCTGTAGGGATAATAAGTTTAGATAAAAGTGATTCTGGATCTTATATTCATATATTTATATATACTGTACATAACATGCATAATGTTATGATAACTTATGATTTTGTTGTTTTTTTATCACTTTTAGAATAAAGTGAAAAGTTTTGCTTCAAACTAATTACAGAGAAAATGTATTGATTTCATAATAAATGATTGATAAATAACATTAATGCAATGTTTTGATGAAAGTATGAATGAAAAATAAATACTATATCTGGGTTTGATTAATACACTGTACAATTGCATGTAACAGTAATATTTTTATGTAGTGCTACAAATACTGCATCACAAACACTAAATAACAATATATTATGAAACGCCAAACAAAGCATGCATGGTCAATTCCTGGTAATATCATGTTTTATTTACAATATTTCAAAACAAATCAAATATCAATTGCAGTAAATATATTTTATTTATAACATTAAATGTACATCAAGGTATACAGGTACAATAGATCGTTTACTCCTGGTAAATAGCATTTAAGTTTACTCGAACCAATTTATCACAAAAGTACATTGATCGATAGTTTGCGAAACAAACTACTAGTTAATTATTGATATAATGTTTTTAAATACAAATGAAACGATACGTTTGTGAATTAAAATTAAAATAAACATAGTTTTCAACAATTTGGACATCAATTGAACGGTCATTACCTATAGGTTGGGAAATAGAGTTAAGAATATTCCGTATATTTTTGTAATGACCTATAATTTTATTAGTAATCGACTTTAAGGCTAGGAATAAAACACTAGATAATTTTAATACAAAAAATGTATGCAATTTTTATTATACATGTTATTTTTTCATTTATCAATACATTATGTATTCGATCAATATTTCATTCATTTATTTGTCGTTAATAGTAATTGTGTATTATTTTTGTTGTATTTTTTGTTGCTTTACATATTTTGTGACAAAAATGTTATGTAATTGTTTGACATAAATAAATATAAAACCAAGAATACACACAACTTTCTTAGTATATCAATAGTAATGAAATGACAACAAAATATACATTTAATTCACAACTAATAGTACTTACAATGAAAATATAGAAAAGTTTTTTTGTGTTATTATTATTAATATAATATTATATTCAATACATTTTTTACGCAAATATTAATCAAACAGAAAGTGTGGTAAAAATATATAACAAAACTAAAATTAAACAAACATAAAGTATATAACAAAACACAATGCGTTTATAAATAGTAGTTATAAAGTGATTAAATTCCCGATAATTTGTAATCAACACAACAATACAAAAACACACGAATTGACTAAAAATAAATTGTTTTTCATTCAGAGCTTTTCACCAACGCTTATATCGAAAGCCTTCGAGAAGTAAATAACATTTTCGGTACAATTCATAGACTTTATGTATTGATAGGTCGTTGAGTTCGGCGAATGCCTCAATACCTTCAAAATACAAATATCTAGATGTTATTTATTGATATATATATATATATATATATATTAACCACATGATAAATATATTAGCACAAACAAACATTTATGATAGATTATAATTAGATTATGAACTAAACAATTATAGTAATTAATTATGGTATTAATATTAGTTACCCCGGCTGTTGGCGATATGATCTCCCAATGCTTTACAGTTAAGCTCCAGTGCTTTTTGTGATAAAGCCGTGGCCCATATGACCGAACAGAGGGCCATACAAATGATGGCAATCCTATACATAATAGTTGTTTGCATCTTAAAAGTTCATACGTTAGAATTAAATGAGTTGTGACCGATATTTTTTGCCATATTATATATATCACAGTTTCTTAAATGTATTATAAATTCACATAAATAGTGGCGATGTGTGGGCTATGGATGAGATATGTATCCAATCTTAAATATCCGCCCCTTTTCCCGATCACTTTCATGTGCTGTGTATGTACTGCTTGAATGACACCTCTAATCATATATGAATGAAATGGATATAGATGCGATTGGCTTTTAGCCATGGTAAATTTTTTATTGTCCAAATAGCTTAAGCCATTCTTACAAAGAGACGTAAGATTGGCTTAAAATATGTTATAAATAATTTCTTATAATATTTTTGGGAAAAAATAATAGCATTATTGTTATATTGAATTACGTGTTTGTTTTTAATACAATGTAAATTAATAATGTTAATAATAACTTATTGCGAGCCAGATTTTATTAACTATTTTTGTAGATTAATGTTTTTGTTATTTCCCAATTTACCGGTAATTGGTCTGTGAAACGGGTTTTATGAGCATTTGGTTTAAATCCTAGTTTATTTTAACAATTTATTTTGCTTCTGTATTAATGTCCCAGATGAATTATGGCAATTATTTCTATAAAGCACAGTTAGTACTGTATTACTTTTACATTTAGATAACTATATTTAAATAATTGAAATATTTAATGAATTTATCTATAATGTTGTTTAATAGTTTTGAAAAGTTTTTTTTAAATATTCATAAACTTGCAGTAATTTTAAATCACTTGTGATTTGTAATAACATTTAAATTTCTGTATTTAAATGTATGGAAGTTTTTACGTAAACTAATCAACGATTTTATAAGTAAATGATTTTAATTTATAATTTATTTAAAATAATATTAACTAAAATATTATAAATAAACATTTTCTTAAACTAATATTTTGCATAATATTATACAGAATCTTAAAGTTTATTACTAGTACTGTATTACTATAGATAATACAGCGTACAGTATTACCATATTAAATAAAAATACAAAAACTTAAATCACTATTAACAATTGCAATATTATAAATTTATGTTAAATATATTAAGCATTTACTAAATATTCAACGCATCAAAAGTGCTTATTATTGGAAAACATTATTTTGGTTTTGAAATACTTAAGAATATTCTGGATAACAAAATTAGCTCAAAAGGTATGAATGTAATAAATATTTATTACAAACAATTCACGATGTTAATTATTAAACGACAGTACTAAATTTATGCAGTACCGTTTAAAATAAAATTAAAATTGTTGTTTTGTGTGGTTTTTTTAATGAATGTTGCCCAATAAAATAACATTGAGCAATTTGTACGTATAAACGCACTGTATACATTATTTAAGTATACAGTACATTATTTAGAGGTTTGTATTTTTAGAGTTTTAAAAGTTCAGAGAATATTTTTTTACACAAATACTGGAGGTTTTAAATAATAAAATAACTTTTTTGGTAATCTTTTTTTTCGTAATCTCAAACTTATTTATTTTATATCTAAAAATCTATAAGACTTATGCTATTATTAATAATTGAATATTTTTTAACGTGTAATTAATTAGTTACTTATACTTTAATAAAGTTATTTAAATAATTTATTGCTCATAAAATTGTTCACAAATAAACTCTTTTGTTTTGTGAATTTGTTTAATTATATTTAATTTTGTTTAAAATGTAGGTTTTATATTAATGTTATTCTTATGGGTTATAATTATAAGCTATGGCATTGTCATTCACACTGCCTAAGTAATATGTTTACAATTATGGTGAATTATGTTTAAGTTTAATACACTTAATACGAAACGGAAATAAATGAGATTGTGTTAATCTATATAATTAATGATGTACATGTAATAAAAGTAAAATTAGCAAATTATATGAGTTGTCGGCAAAAATAGCTTTTCAAATACAATTCCCAAATCCAAAGCTGGAAATAGATTTCTAAAAATATTATATATTTGTCTCACATTAGACCTAAATTTTAAAACTCATATGAGCATTAAAACTTATCTAATGTAAAAATATTACAACATTAAGTGAACCAGTATGGTAAATTTAGAAGTTTTGAATATTGTTAATGTATATGAATAAAATGTGCCTGGATAAATTCAAAATATCTTAATAATTTCTATTATTTCATTAAATAATGACTATATAATTAATAGCGGTACTCAATAAATTGCAAAGGACGTTTTACCAAGGGCAACTTTAGATTTCCTCATTTTATCATTCTCTCTCTCTCTCTCTCTCTCTCTCTCTCT